TAAAGTGCACTCCATTCTGAGTAGTGTGGTGAAATCTTGCACCGCCCGCTCCTTCCCACTTGGGACATGAGTCATCCCTTTGTCCAGCGCATCCGAGTTGTACACTCCCCGATCGTTAGTCATTTAGCCATCTCAGTTATCAGATCAACTGTCTCAGCATTGCAGTGCTCCAAGTAACTCTTATTTTACTTACTAGTGTCTCATTCACCTCACTTCATCTCATCATGTTGCTATTTTATCTCACATCACAAGAAGGAGGCTGAATATATATAGTACAACAAGCTATGAGAGAGGCCACATTAGCATAACTTTATTATAATATATGATAATTGTTCTATTTTATTATTGTTAATCTCTTACTGTGCCAAATTTATAAATTAAACTTTGTCATATGTATGTAGATGTACAGGAATATAGCATAGTACGTTTAGGGTTTGGTACTATACATAATTTCAGGCATCTACTGGAAGTCTTGGAATGTATCCCCTTCAGATGAGAGGAAACTACTATAATTTTGCAATAAACTTTATAGTAATGGAAAGAGTCTAGTAAGTTATCGTGTATGTTCTAGACAAGTCCTGCCCAATAGACTTTGCAGTGATGGAAGTATTCTATACCCACGCTGTTCAATAAAGGAGTTGCTTTTGTATCTACTTGATCACTTGAAATGTGGCTCATGCAACAGGGGGAATGAGTTTTTAATTGTATTTAATTTAAATTTAAATTCTTATATGTGCTGGTGGCTACTGTATTGCACATCACAGTTCAACACTTTTCAATGCTTTCTTGACATTGCTACTTGGATGTCTCAAAGTTACCAAGGTCAAATGAGAATTCTTTAATTTTTTTCTCCTCTCAACCTGTTTCTCCCCCAACAAAGCTATCATTGGTCAGTTGCTTGAGCCAAAACCCAGGTATCATCTCACCTTCTTCCTCCTCATCTCCCACATCTACTTTATCAGCAGGTCCTGATTGATTTACCTTCAGAACCTATACTGAATCCACCCACTTCTCTCCAACTCTACTGGTGAACCAAAATATCACATCTCACCTGAACAGATGAATGGCCTCATAATTGATCACTGTTGCCTCTTCTAGACTCCTCCATACAGCTACCAGAGAGATGCTATCACACACTTCAGCAGGTCACATCACTCCCTGCTTGTATGGAAACATTTGTAGAACTGTGACGTTCTCTTCTTTGTATACTTAGTTTCTCTCTCCTATTACAGTGGGAGTTCCCATATATTTACTCCCTTCACTAGGGTCTCTCTTAGCACCGACAGCTAGGCCCAGAACTCAATTTGCACTCAGTAAACTTCTCAATAACAATTAAACTAATGTTTATTGTGGAAGGAGCTGAGATAGCAAGAGTCAAAATATGATTTATAACTTGGTTGCTAGTAGCTGAGTTGATGCTGACATCCATGTACATGGGGGTTGTTTTCTTGTACATTCTGGATGCCGTAGGAAGGGTGGGCGTTACGGTTAACTGCATTTATCTGTGAGAGGAAAGGCTGGTCCACAGTCCTGATAAAATCTCTGACGTGAGCTAGGAAGAACTTTTTTCCCTAGAGGCTTGTGTATGTCCTAGATCTTGACACTTCAGTCTTTCCCACTGTTGGGGAAAGAGGAGAGTATCCTCCTACAAGGTCACTTTTTATATTCACCCTAGGGGAGTTTAGACAGTCATGGGAAGAAACATGTCATGGGACTTCAGGGTAGTATATAACAAAGTCACGTCTGGACAGCAAAAGGTTTTCAACATGAGTTTGTTGTTTAAAAAAAAAAGTACTTGGAATATGCTCATATTGAGTTATTTCAAACCAAGAAAACCTTAGGAAGCAGGGTTTGTGTCTTTTTTCTTTCTTTCTTGACCATTGCATTTTTTAAAGGAAATATCTCTTCTAGCTTTCATTTATAGTGGCCAGCCAAGGCTTTCAGAAGGTGTGTTATTACTTAGCTCCGTTGATCCACGTGCAAAGTTAAATGAAGCTGCTAACTAGTTGGAGATATGATCAAGTTGGCCAAGCTCTGAGATGCATTTGTTTCCTCTAGTCCTGAACAGGCCTGGGAAATGGCCATCCCCTCGGCACTGGCTGGATTTAGAAGATGAAGTTAAAGCTTGAAATTAAAGTACATATTCAGGGACTCTTTATCCCAGTTTTTATTAGTCACAGGTTTATAGCCCTGTCCCCATCCTTCCAATGCTGTGCCAGTATTTTCCTGTGTGTGCCTTTACTGAGCAACTACTGTGTACCAAACACCTTACTAGGTCCCAGAAAGACAAAGATGAGTTAGACTTATTCTCAATTTTCCGAGATTCTGCAAACAAGTAGGCAGAGAGACCAGTAAACGGAAAACCAAAACAAAGAAGCCACTTGTAGTAACAGAGGGAAGTCGATGATGCTGAGAGGAGAAGGCAGTGGGAGGCAGGTCTGATGTGGCCGTTAAGAGTAGGCTCTGGAACCACATGGTCTGGCTTCACAGTCTGGTTCTGTGACTTGTAAGCCATGTGACCTTCGGCTCCTGACCTAACCTCTGTGCCTCAGTTTGCTCACCTATTAAATGGAGTAGTAAAAGAACTTACCCCCTGTGTGGTTAGTAAGTGGATCACAGAAGCACACAAAGCACTTGGAACAGTGCCTGGCACATAGCTCCATAAAAACCAGCCTCTGTTATTATCAGTAATAGTAGTACATAGTTATTGATTAATGAGTGAATACTACTATCACTGCAGAGAAGTTGTCCCTAAGCCAGCCAAGGGAGTTCACAAAGGCTTCCCAGAGGAGGTGACTTTTGCGCTGAGATTTGAAGATAGGCTGATATTGTAGGGAAAGGACACGTTTGGCGGAAAGAACAGAATCTGCAAAGGCGTAGAGAGTGAGAGAGAGTGGGCGTTTCGGGGCCAGTAAATAGGACTGTGTGGGTAAAGGACAAGATGCCTGGGGGAGAACACCCGGGAAAGGGGGCAGGCATGAGATCACGGGGGCTTTGGAGACTGGGCTAAGAACTTGGATCTGATCTAAAACCGAGAGGAAGCACTAACGGACTTTCAGTGGCGGCAGCAGCAACATCCCTCAGTGGCCTCAGCCTGTGGCCGGTTGATTCTCAGTGTCACTGACCAACCTCCTTCCCTGTGATTCACATGTGTGGATCTGCCTTTTCTCACTAGGCGCGAAATCTTTGGGAGCCACAAATTAATAAAGTGACAAGGATGTATTTTCTTGATTCCTTTCTACCCAGTTCTTCCCCTCTCACTCCTTGTCCCTGCTCAGACAGATACAGGGATGGCTGTCTGACCCCTTTGAGTGATAGATCCTTCTCTCAGAAAAATCATGAAGACAAGATTTTCTAGAGACCCCACGTTTACCTTTCCCTGCACCCCACCTTGGTCATCCAACCCGGCTCCCAGATCCAGTGCCACTTTTTTCTTTCTGTATTGATTTTGGAGAGGAAGGGAGAGAGAGAGAGAGAGACAGAAACATCGACGAGAGAGAACATCGATTGGCCGCCTTCTGCATGCCCCCCACTGAGGATCGGGCCCACAACCTGGGCATGTGCCCCAACGGGAATCGAACTGGCGACCTCTTGGTGCATGGGTCGACGCTCAACCACTGAGCCACACCGGCCAGGCCCCAGTGCCACCTTTTGACCCCAGGCCTGCTTGTGGTTTTGCCCTCTTACCCCAACTTGTTTCTAAGTTCACTTGCCTGCACATCCACTCTTCTGCCTCCGTCACTGCTGTTATCTGACATGTATCATGAGAGCAGCCTTGGATCACTTGGAGGTTATAATTAAAACTGAAAGCAATTATCTTATATTGAGCTGATCAAATTTAATTGAGAGTCTAGTGGCTAAGGACATGGGCTCAGGGGGCAGGCTGTGTGGATTAGAACGCCAGCTCTGTCGCTGTCTTACAACCTTAAGTTACTTAGCCTCTTTGTTCCTCACTTTCCTCAGTACAAAGTGGGAATGATACAGTAGCCTCACCTCATGAAGTTATTGTCAGGACGCACTGAGGTAACATAGGAACACGCTGAGAACAGTTCCTGGCACATAGTAAGTGCTATATAAGTACTTGCTATTATTACATTATTATTTCTACTAAAATGACATCATGAATGGGGTAATGATGGATTACTAGGAGCAGGAAAATAGATTAATAAAATCTCCATATGCATTTGACTCACTTTGGAGCCTTGCCCAGTGCCTGACAGCCAAGAATAGATTCTCCACGTCTGTACTGTCTGGTGCGGCAGTCACTGGCCACTGTGACTACTGACTACTAGAAATGTCATTAGCCTGAGTTGAGACATACTGAGTCTGAAAGACTTAGTATGAAAAAAAAATTAAAACCTCTCATTAATAGTTTTTATATTGGTTATGATGAAATAATATTTTAAATTAGGTTAAATGAAATGTATCATGAAAATTAATTTTGTCTGTTTTGCTTATTTAATGTGGCTACTAGAAAATATAAAATTATATATGTGGCTTGTTTTATATGTCTGTTGAACAGCACTGCCTTCGGCTCATCATGATCAGTAATGTGGTTGTGATAAGGTGTCCGCTATTGGAAAGCATTGTCCATGCATCCCATTGCCATTCAAGTTCTACTGGGCCGGCTGTTTTTTAATTGGTTCCGTAAAGGGAGCCATGGCTTGGTCCTAGAGAAGGGGTTGGAGGGATGAAGGCAAAAGCAACGACCAGGGAGGCTTCCGCTGACTTGAAGGGGTTTGGATGAAAACACTACCATTTATAGTTATACTGGGCTCAGCCTTTAGCACTCCCTGAAGTAGATGAGAGAATGCTCTCTATTCAGGAAGTTGAAATATGTAGGCGAAAAACTCTCCCTATTCCATCAGGAGCCAGAAAAAGCTTTGCTAATCTTTAACTAAAAGAATAACACTCAACATTATGTCAGTCAGTTGGGATCGAAAGCACACCCTTTCCAAATGTGATTTACTTATGGGGTGTTTTGTTTAATTCTATTTCAGATCCGTTCCCCTACTTGAAACCTGAAAACGGTGGGCCACACAAAGTCTTACTGGTAAGATCTCTTTCATTTTTAAAACAAAGTGACTATTTGACATTATTTTTGAAATGATATTCACACTTCTAAGTTAGATGCATCTCTACCAGTACTATGATTAGATGTCTATTTATTCACACTTTTTTCCCCCCTTTGAAATGATTCAAGATGTTTCCATGCCTTAAAAAAAAAAAAGATCAGTCCATGTTCTTTTGCTAAGAACATAGTCAGGGAACAGATCTGTGATTATATGCCAAATACTATTAAAATGAAAAGGTGTTTTTTTTTGGTTTTGTTTTTTTATAATGAAACTATTTCCAGGCTCCTGTTAATAGTCTGCTTGTTTCAAGCAGTATCCACAACAACAGTGTCTCTTCAGCCAAGGAATGCAGACAGTCCCTTGCAGTGTGTTATAATGAAAATTGGCTCATAGCCATAACATATTAGCTTTCTTATTGCTCTATTTTTCCTCTCATCTTTTTGAACCTGAATGGGATTGTTGTGAGAGGACAGTTCTGCAGAAGAACACTTGCCATTAGAGCTAGGAAAGTAATATACATTTTAAGTGAAAAAGCTTCTAGAGCTTTCCTGTGACATCACTCCCTGATACTGTGGTGCTACTATTATTTGCAGTGTGTAACAGCTAGCTTTGGCTGCATAACAAATCATTTCCAAATTTACAGCCAGAAATTTGCACTAAAATATAATGACTCAAAATGACAATCATTTCGTCATCCCACAATCCTGTGGGTTGACGATTTGGACTGGGCTCAACTGTGTGATTCTTCCGGCTTCCGCTGGGACCATTGATGTGTCTGCAGTCAGCTCCAGGGCTAGGTCAGCTAGGCGTTGTTTCTGGAGGTCACCTGGCTCTCGGCTAAAGGGATGACAGTGACTAAGACATGTGTCTCATCATCCTACAGACTACCCTGAACTTGTTCACGTGAAGATTGGGCAGGGTTATGAGAGAGAACAGAAGCATCATGAGGCCAAGGCTCAGAACTGTCACAACGTTGCTTCTATCACTTTCAGTTGGCGAAAGGAAGCTATATGGTTAGTCTAGATTCAAGAGGTTACAGATATAGATTCTATTTCTTGGTAAGAAGAGCTGCAGGATTACATTGTAAGGAGCATGGATACAGAGAAGGAAAGAATTGGGGCCATTTTTGCAGTCTATCATGCAGAGATTGAGTCGTGTGGAAACAACTGTGATGGAATGAAAGCACACGGAGAGTGAGAGGACTCAGACCATACTCCCTCTCATAGCCTGTCCTCTCATCCCACTTTGATCGACAGCCCTGAGAATCCTGGTCTCACTCTGTACTGCCTGCCACCCCCGTCAGTTCAGCAGGTTTCTGAGTAGTCTTCTCAATACTAGGCTTTCCGCTCTCCCACGCTCCCTTCATTCTACACAGCACCACCACACTAGTCCTCCTTCAGTTTATCTTCCAGGATGTTACTTATTTGCTCAAAAATTGTTAGTGCTTCCATATCACCCAGAATACCAACCTGAATTCTCTCTGGCTTCTTCACTTTCATTATCTGACCCCGTTCTCTCTTGCTTACCTCCCACTTTTCCTTTTTTTCTAACAAGACTAGGCTGTTTACCATTCTTGTTGAGGACACCTCATGCTACTCAACCTCTCACTGCTTGGAAACCTTTCCCATTCTACAGGGCCCAGTAGATCTCCCCTTCTCAGTGGTCTTCCCTGCCTGTTCCTGCCATTTGTGATCATTCCTGCCCTGAACCACTGTCAAGCCAAATACTGTCTTTAGTGGTTCACTCTCCACCATGGTGAGTCTTACTTCCTCCATTGCTTGGTTAGCGCTCTGAGAGCAGAGGCTACCCAGGCCTTCCTTGCAGTAGTCAGCACAGGGCTGAGAGTACAGCAGGTACTTAGCCAACCATGAAGCAGTGTGGACACCGCACTTGGTCACCCCCTGCCAAATCACCAGGATCACGAGGCACTCAGCGAAATGTAAGCTCCTAGTCCCTTCCATTGTGCTATCTGCACTCATAAGGTCTGGGGTGGACTCTGGGAATCTTAAAGTGCTCAGATGATTCTGATAAGATTGCTATTCAGTTAACAACCACTTCTTAGGGAAAGAACAAGACATTTACATGAGACCCGGATTTGAGGCCTGGCTCTGCTACTTCCTGGCTCTAGGACCTTATAAACTCAACCTTTCTGAGCTTCCACTTCCTCATCTGTAAAATGGGAATAATATTTAACTCGAGGACGGCCAAGAAGATCAAAAAGAATGTGCAAGTGCTTTATAGACCATAAAATATAATTGAAATGCATTCATTGATTGTGGATCTGCAGCTAGCCAGTTGTCAAGAAAGGAACAGTTACCTCCATGGTGGTGGTGAAGTAATGATAGAGGAATAGCAGTGAGTAATCAAGTGGTGTTGGTGGTGGTGGGGATAAATAATAACAGCAACAATGGTCAAAAAGAATGTCTCCCATTTATTGGCTGCTGACTATATGCCAGCTGCCTATAGAATTATTTGAGATTTACAGGAAGATTCCCCTGTTCAATTGCATCTGTGCGGCCTATTCCACCATTAGTGAATTATTCCTTTCGTTTTTTCCTCTTCAAAATACCTGGTTAAAATATACTCTTCTGTGAGATAGGAAATGCTAGGTTAAGCTGCTATGAACCATTGACAGTTTATTAGTATCGAGTACAAGGTCTTGTAGAAGAGTTGGCTACTTTGGTTTGGTGGGAGGAGTTGGGGACAGGAAGGAGAGCAATCAACAGTGCTAAAGAGAAAAGAGGCCCAGCTGGTGTGGCTCAGTGGTTGAGCGTCGACCCCATGTACCAAGAGGTCACCAGTTCGATTCCCGGTCAGGGCACATGCCCAGGTTGTGGGCCCGATCCCCAGTGGGGTGCATGCAGGAGGCGGCCGATCAATGTTCTCTCTCATTGATGTTTCTCTCTCTCTCTCCCTCTCCCTTCCTTTCTCTAAAATCAATAAAGAAAAACATAAATTAATTAAATAAAGAGGAAAGAGGCACAGCAGGAATAGACCAGAGGGCACCCAGTGGCCCAGAGAAGGCTGGAGTTGAGGCGGGGCGGGGGGAGGGGTGATACTCCAGAGGGCAGGGAAGGGTGTAGGAGGAGAGAGGGTTGCTGACTTGACAGTTTGGCCCAGGGTTATTCCTGATCCACAGCCACTACCTTCTCAACCTGCTCACTGGGAGCGTCCCCATAACAAGGGGCAGTGTTTGTAAAGATGTTCTCCATTCACCATCCAATTTGTTTTATGTATTGTTGATTGCTGTTAGTCTAGCATATACATGCCTGTCTTCTTTCAAAGAATTTTGCGGTTACTTTTAAATACATATGTAATATAATGAGATTCAGGAAAACAAGGGAGGAAGGAAAAGTAAGGTGCAGAAGTAAGGTTCGGCCCCAGGGCTTGGGTGCGAGCCTCGTCTGTGCCAGCAGGTCCCACGCTCGTCTCTGAGCTTCTGAGCGGTCAGTGTCACAGTGGCTGGAACACAGACACTCTGGTTACTCAGAAGAAGCAGGGTTGATCATGAGTCAAGATGTAGAGTAATTTCTTCAGAGCTCATAAACAGAACACCACACAAGGTAGAGAACAACAGCCCTGTAATAACTAGAATAACGAGGACTACCCTCAGCAAATGATGTAGCACTCAGTGCAGTCCAAGGAAGCCTTCCAGTCCAGCTTTGCTCTTCTCTGGTGGCCTTGTTTAATCCAAGGATAAAATGTAATGGTTTCAGCTGGAACAACAAATGCATACATTCATTTCCTCCCCGCACAGTGGACCTCCCCAGATTGTCACGCTCTTGGTGCTGAGCCCTGGGCATTTGGCTATGGACTAGATTTGGCATGCGAGCTGAAATCTGCTTACCATCCCAGTTCTAAAGAAATAATAAACAACCTCCTGAAAGTGCTCTGTGACTATTATTTCTACCCACTCCCAAATCATTCCATGCTCCGACCCAGCCCATGGAATGGCTTTTTTATACACAGAATTTGCGCTGAACCTGTCCACTGTGACCTGTGAGGCCCTTTTTCCCTGTTCCAGATGTCTCTCTCCTTCTATTTTGAGCTCCATGGTTCTAGGACATTTATGATACTGGAGTAGTCAGTACCTTTTTGGAGAACCAGGGCAGCTTAAGAAGCTCATGGGATGAGGCGCTGCAGTGGACTCCATGTATTTGTTTTGTGGTAGCAACCTGTAACCTGGGCAACTGTTGTCCATCACTGGGACTCTTCTCCTGGTTGGCAGCTGTAATATTTATTGCAAGAGGTAGTGTCTGGTTGGTGGTAGCATTGGTAAGATGAGTTGTCGGGGCAGAGGGTGGTATGACAGTAATGCTAAGCCTAGATTTTTTTATAAAAATATCATAGGATGAAAAAAATTTTTAATTCAGTATGGATCATTGAGAGGAGCCTAGAATTCCACAAGGACTACTCATGAATGAGCCTTATTTTCGTTTAGATCAGGCTTATCAGTTAGAATTATTTTGTTTGCTAGTCACAGAAATCCAACCTAAACTAGTTTCTTGACTAACATGTCCATGCTGATAGGACCTTGAGGGATAGCTGTATCCAGGGGTTCAGAAGATGTCTTCAGGCCATTACCTTCTACTCTTTCCATCGTCTGGCTCTGCATAACTCTGTTAGCTTCATTCATGGGCAAGTTCTCTCTCACCGTGGTGCCAGAGGTACCCGTCAGCATCATGTTCTGTCATCCTCACAGCTCTGGATCACAGTGAAAACAACATGCCTCTTCTGCTCTTGTGCTAATAAGCATTGGCTCAGTTCAGATTTCTTGCCTGAATCAACTCAGCCAGAGGGTGGTCGTAAACAATAAGCAGTGCCTGTTTGGCCGTGTTCGTGGTTCTTGAGAGAAGGTGAATACCACCAGAGTCACGTGGAATGGGGTCCACTATTTAAAAAGAAGGAATTTTGTTTAGAAGAAGGAAGAAGTAAAGATAAATTTCTAGGTACCGGAGGTCCAGTGATTTAGAAATTC